TTATCATCATCATCATCATCTCTGAAAAGTCTATATTACATAGCCCAATCCATGGGAAAAAGGCATGTTCACTGCTGGTGGGTATATAGATTCATTAACTACTCTAGAGGTCAATTCACCTCCTTAAATCGTATCAATAATTTAAGTTATACCAATCGTTAAATTGAGCATACCTTTGGACCCAGCAATCTTATTTCCAAGACTTTATTCTTTTTTTTTTCTTTTACAAATAGTTTATTGTCAAATTAGTTTCCACATAACACTCAGTGCTCATCCCCACAAGTGTCTTCCTCCATGCCCATCCCCCCTCCCCCCCACATCCATCAGTCCTCAGTTTTTGTCAGCATTCAAGAGTCTCTCATGGTTTGCCTCTCTCCCTTTCCCCCACCATTTCCGCCCTTCTTCTCCCCCTTGTTCCTCCGTCAAGTTCCTCCTAATCCTCCTATACGTGCAAACATATGATATTTGTCCTTCTCTGCCTGACTTATTTCGCTCAGCATAACACCCTCAAGGTCCATCCATGTTGCTACACATGGCCAGATTTCATTGTTTCTCATTGCCATGTAGTATTCCATGGTATAGATAAACCACATCTTCTTGATCCATTCATCTGTTGATGGACACTTAGGCTCTTTCCATGTTTTAGCTATTGTGGAGAGTGCTGCTATGAACATTGGGGTACATGTGCTCCTATGCCTCAGCATTTCTGTATCCCTTGGGTAAATTCCTAGCAGTGCTATTGCTGGGTCATAAGGGAGTTCTATTGTTAGTTTCCTGAGGAACCTCCACACTGTTTTCCAGAGGGGCTGTACCAGTTTACATTCCCACCAACAGTGTAGGAGGGTGCCCGTTTCTCCACATCCTCGCCAGCATCTAGAGTTCTCTGATTTGCTCATTTTAGCCACTCTGACTGGCGTGAGGTGGTATCTCAGTGTGGTTTTGATTTGTATTTCCCTGATGAGGAGGGATGCTGAGCATCGTTTCATGTGTCTGTTGGCCATCTGGATGTCCTCTTTGGAGAAGTGTCTGTTCATGTCTTCTGCCCATTTCTTCACTGGGTTGTTTGTTTTTCGGGCGTGTAGTTTGGTGAGTTCCTTATAGATTCTGGATATTAACCCTTTATCTGATATGTCATTTGCAACTATCTTTTCCCATTCCGTTGGTTGCCTATTAATTTTCTGGGTTGTTTCCTTGGCTGTGCAGAAGCTTTTAATCTTGATGAGGTCCCAACAGTTTATTTTTGCTCTTGATTCCCTTGCTTTTGGGGATGTGTCAAGTAAGAAGTTGCTGCGGTGGAGGTCAAGGAGGTTGTTTCCTGCTTTCTCCTCTAGGGTGTTGATAGTTTCCTGTCTCACGTTCAGGTCCTTTATCCATTTTGAGTTGATTTTTGTGCATGGTGTGAGAAAATGATCTAGTTTCATTCTTCTGCATGTTGCTGTCCAGTTCTCCCAACACCATCTGTTAAAAAGGCTGTCTTTTTTCCATTGGATATTCTTTCCTGCTTTGTCAAAGATCAGTTGGCTGTATACTTTTGGGTCCACTTCTGAGTTCTCAATTCTGTTCCATTGGTCTATGTGTCTGTTTTTGTGCCAATACCATACTGTCTTGATGATGACAGCTTTGTAGTAGAGGCTAAAGTCTGGGATGGTGATACCTCCCATTTTGGTTTTATTTTTCAGTATTACTTTGGCTATTCGGGGTCTTTTGTGGTTCCATACAAATTTTTGGATAGTTTGTTCTAGTTTTGAGAAGTATGCTGGTGCAATTTTGATTGGAATTGCATTGAATGTGTAGAGTGCTTCCAAGACTTTATTCTAAGGGCAAGGACATTTGTGGAGATTTACAGACAGTAATTTTGAACCACTTAACTGTCCAATAACAGTAACTGAAAAAATAAACTGTAGTGCATCCATATCATGGAAAACTATCCTGCCATTAAAATTATGTGATGGAAACATAATTAACAACATGGGAGAATGTGCACACCCCAGTAACATGAGAAAAGCCTGTCAGAAAGGAGTACTTACAGTATGAGTGGAATTCGGTTTTAATTTTTATTTGCGTAAAAATGACTGTAAGGATTTACGCTGAAATGTTAAGTTATGCCTGGGTTCAGATATTATAAGTCATTTTTATCTTCTTTAAACGCTTTCAGTAATTCTTCATGTTCTTCATGTTTAGTAGTTCTCTAATTGAACTATATTATTATTGCAATAGAAAACAACCAACGTGTGGAAATCAGGGTAAAACCCTGTGACGCTTGCTCTGACCAGAAGCCATCCCCTCAATATACAGCATGAATCAACCTCCTTTTGCAACAGTGAGATGAGAAGACACTACGCATCAACTTTTCTTTCTGGGAGTTTACAGTGTAAGACAAGCAATTTTATTCTCACATTAAGAGTTTGCAAGGGGCACTTGGGTGGCTCAGTCCGTTAAGCGTCTGACTTTGGCTCAGGTCATGATATCACAGTCTGTGAGTTTGAGCCCCGCACCGGGCTTTGTGCTGACAGCTCAGAGCCTGAAGCCTGCTTTGGATTCTGTGTCTCCCTCGCTCCCTGCCCCTCCCCCATTCAGGCTCTGTCTCTGTCTCTCTCTCTCTCTCTCAAAAATAAATAAGCATTTTTTAAAAAAGAGTATGCAAGAAGGAGATGCAATAGTCCATGGTCAAGGAAGGGCAGTGGGGAGGGGTAGTGTTGAAAACATTCCCAAGAAAACTTCCCTTCTCCTGGGAATGGCTTGAGAAGCCTATGGGAAGGAGGAAAGCAAAGCGAGTATATTGGAAAAGAAAGGATATGGGGCCCAGTAGAGGAAAGGCACTCACTCCAAAACACTTCTGAGAATTCTTATTCAGTTTTATAACACAAAATATGTGCCCACAGAAATTTTCATTGTGTTTGTTTTGTTCTGGTTTTCCATATAACAATTATTAACATGAGGTGAAGATTTAAGAAAACAAGGCCCCTGGAAATGAGCAATGGAAAGGGCCTGGGGAAAGGCACCCCAGGAGACTGGAGCCACGGGCCCGTCCCCCGCCTTGCCCAGGGAGGACAGAGAGCCAAACTTCCGCACACTCGCCTCCAGCCTGGGGCAGACATGTTCCAACCCAAACAAGCCAGTCTGCTTTCAGGTCATTTATTTGGAGTTACCTTTCCTTAATCCTCCTGATCCCCTTGAAGCCTATGGGGAATATTCTAGAAGGTATGGTCATCACTTCCTAAGGTTTCTAATCTTCCTGTCAGGAAACCACAGCCCTGCTCAGAGACTGAGACAACGTGAGGAGCGGGAGGCTCTGAGGCAGAGCAGACATAGCAAGGGAGGCCCAGCTCTGCTGTGAGATTAAAACCACTTCCAGATGAGCCATCAGAGGGTGTGTGTGGGGTGGGGGGGTGGTGAGCATGAGACAGAGAGACAGTGGAAAGAGAAGGAAGAAAAGAGTAAGGGAAGGGAAGGAGAGGGAAGAGGGGAAGAACAGGAGATGGAAAGGGAAGGAGAGGAAGAAGAGAAAGAAGGTTCTGAGAGAGAGCAGGAAGGGGAGGAAGGGAAGGGAGGGCAGACAGTGGGAGGTGGGGGAGAAGAAGAAGTGGGGAAAGGTTTGTATTTTCAGTGAAACCTTAAGAACTACCTCAGGTTTGGGGAGCAATCACCTACACAAACACTCTAGAAGAAACCCAGCTTCACTCACTGAAAGTAGATTCACATTAAATAATGAACTAGATGATCACACTTGAATACAGGAAATCTTTACATCCATTCTAATTGGCGCAGAGTCGTTACTGCCAAGATATGTAGCGTACAATTCCAGAATATACCGTGACATAAAAATAAAAAGGATGTGTGTGAGACTTCACGTTTCAGAGCCAAGTGGACTCCCTCCTCAGCCTTTGGTTATCTGATATTTTTCTGTTTTCTGTGCCAAAAGATATATTTATGCTAATAGTCATTTGTTTTCTCGAATGAATATGCTTAGGGAGAAAAAAGTGAACATTTCAGATCATACATCATTCTGTGCTTAAGAACATTATAATGAGCAAACTCCAAAGGCAAATAAAGTTGTAGTAAACGCTATCTACATAAATTATCTATTTTAACATGCCCCTTATTCATATAGGATATTAAAAATACTCTTTCTCCTTCCATCAAAAAAAAAAAAAAACCTTTTTACAACTGAGTTGTATCCCTTTATAAAAGCTTATCAAAACAGCATCACTATTGCCTTTAACATTACATTATGTGTATATAATAAAATTAGATTCCTTCTCACACTTGGGACCATCAGCTTTACTTTGTGATCCTCTTTATCATGTACCAGACCAAACTCAAGTTCAAAGCAATCAAAAATGCAATATTCAGCACACAACAGTGAGTCTTATTAAAACTGTGGAACGTTTGTGGTTTGAAAAAATAACCCTCAAATATGGTGCTTGGGAGTCTAGATGTTCCTGGACACAACCCGTGCTTCCTATCTCTCTGCAAGAAGGGAGGGCTACCTTTGGTCCTTTGCCTGCTTTTGGATGGATTTCTCAGTGCGATGTTGCCTGTGGCTTGGATCAGTTCCTCGGGGCAGCAGATCAGAGCCACCAACCTGCCCTGATCTGAGGCCTGGACAGCGACAACAGGACCTCCCAATGCACGCCTCCTCCCACAGATGCCCAGCACCCTCTAACCAAAGCAAGCAAGTCTGCACAGACCTGAGCTAGGGGCGTAGCACACACACAGCCAGTTCAACCTTTCAGCCATGAGGGTTTTGCTCGGGGTTAGGTTGGGCAGCATGAGGCCAGGCCCTTGCTCCCTTCTCTCCTTACTTCCATGTTAGCCACAGTGTCTAAGGAAAGATCTATGCTCATCCCCACAGCCTGGTTCACACGGCCGTGGCCCACAGAGGCCATGAAGGTGTATTAGCCCAACAGAGTCATCTGGTGGCCCCTATCTCGCTGAGTGGTGGGAGGACCCCTGATCTATACCCCTATCTCTCCCCCACAGAGTAGACATGCCCTTACCTCTCATCTCCATCGTTGAGGAGCCATTGGACCAGGCAGTCCACTTATTCCTGTGCTTGCTGATCTCCTGGACTTTGCATACGTAATGCCCTTGATCCGCTGGCCGAAGGGTCAAAACAGAGAGTGTGTAGAGTGCGCCACGTCTCTCCTCGAGGAGGCACAGCCTCTGCCGGAAGGCACTGCGGCTATAATTCCCGTAGTACTGCACCACCCCGAGCTTCGTCATCTTAACCATCAAGGCCTCCTGGGAGTTGGGGCCTGCAAAGAACCAGCGCACGGCCAACAAGCTGTCCTTCCGTCTCTTCTGGGAGACGTGGCAGAGAAGAGTGGCATTTTCCCCCTCCAGGTAGTCAACCACAGGTCCCGGGGATACGGTGACATTGAGGGCCTCACACACCTCTGCAGAGAAGAAAAAAAGAAGAAAATGAACACGGCCCCTGCCTTTTCCCAGAAGGACACACTTTTCTCCGGGAGCCATCTGCATGGCCAGGAAGGCATGCCACCCTGATCCCCGTCATGCTCACTCTGTGCCTTTGTGGTGGATGTGAGGACTTCTTCGGGAGCATGGTGGGGACAGGGGATCTCTGCGGGCTCCAATGTCCTCACCCCTGAGACAATCCCATCCACATGAGGTGCTACTGACCACCTGGCCCAGATACAGTTTAAAAAATATTTTAATTGATTGTTGACATTTAAAATTCAAAAAATTGGGCCACCTGGGTGGCTCAGTGGGCTAAGCATCCAACTTCAGCTCAGATCATGATCTCATGGTTCGTGGGTTTGAGCCCTGCATCGAGGTCCGCATGGACAGTGTGAAACCTGCTTGGGACTCTCTGTCTCCTTCTTTCCCGGCCTCTCCCACATGTTTTCTCTCTTTCCCTCTCTCTAAATAAATTAACTAATTAACTTTTAAAACTTTTTTTAGTTTATTTTTTGAGAGAGAGAGAGCATTAGCAGGGAAGGGGTAGAGAGAGAGGGAGACACAGAATCTGAAGCAGGTTCCAGGCTCTGAGCTGTCAGCACAGAGCCCTACATGGGGCTTGAACTCATGAGCCGTAAGATCATGGCCTGAGCCAAAGTCGGACACTTAACCAACTGAGCCACCCAGGGGCCCCAATTAATTAACTTTCTTAAAAAGTTAAAAAAAAAAAAAAGACTTGGGTTTGGGGAATCTCTTAAAAATGTCCAGCCACATCCCATCAACCAGCCTGCCTCCCAGGGTCCACTTTGATCAGTTTCATCCCCACCTGCCTGACCTGGCAGTGCCAGGGTCCAAGAGCTGCCTTGTCAAGCCCCCTGCCCTGTCTCAGCTATTTCAGCTGTAACCAAGGCAGAGCGTCAGTACTGGTCAGGTGGGCGTTAAACTAGCGCCAAAGGGCTGGAACAACAGAAGTTTCTCAGGTTCTTGTTCTAAGTCTTTTGTGGCCTTAGAATCCACAGCCTCAGAGCTGCAGTGCAGGAATAAAGAACGAACAAACCCAGGAACAGGGAGAGCTGGGAGAATGCCCCTCCCCCCGCAACAACCCAGAAGATGCTCCAAAATTCCAGACCTGGTCTACCACTTCTTGTCCTTTGTTTTCTTAGATCCACCCAAGGGCTGCCCCTCCCTGGCTGCCATTCTACTCCATGTCCACCTTTGAGGGAGCCACCCACCCCCCACCCAGACCAGCACAGCTCAGAGAGGGCTTCCCCCAGGAGACGCACTGAATGGTGACTACGGGGGCCCTGCAGCACAGCCGTCCTGCCCTGGGGCTCACAGATGGAGTCGTCATCTGGCAGGCAGAGCCCAGAAAGGACGTTTCGCACAGGACGCCCAGAGCCTTCTTTCATCCAAGCAAGGCTGTCTTCACACCAAGTCCCCTTGTACTTAGCCTGCCCTTCCAAGGGCCCAACAGCATCAGGCGCCATTCCCTACCCACCCCCTGGCACAAGCAGGTGTCCCTGGGGTCATCTCAAGCCATAGCTTTCAGCCCCAAATGTCACCTCTGGTCATAGGGGCTTGGGCACTGATGTGAGGATCACCAGAAGCTTTGAACCCTGGCCAGTGCTGCAGGTATGCAAGGAGGAAGGATGAAAAAGAGATCAAGAATGACTCGAGCCCCTCCACGGTGAGGAGGCTGTGAGACAGCAAGGTGAGGCCCTGTGTCTGTTGGGGTGGGAAGTTCTCACATAGAAAATACTCGTCACTGAGAAATAGGCAGAAGACATGAACAGACACTTCTCCAAAGAGGACATCCAGATGGCCAACAGATGCATGAAACGATGCTCAGCATCCCTCCTCATCAGGGAAATACAAATCAAAACCACACTGAGATACCACCTCACGCCAGTCAGAGTGGCTAAAATGAGCAAATCAGAGGATTCTAGATGCTGGCAAGGATGTGGAGAAATGGGCACCCTCCTACACTGTTGGTGGGGATGTTAACAGGTATGGCTCCTCTGGAAAACAGTGTGGAGGTTCCTCAAAAAATTAACAATAGAACTCCCCTATGACCCAGCAATAGCACTGCTAGGAATTTACCCAAGGGATACAGGAATGCTGATGCATAGGAGCACATGTACCCCAATGTTCATAGCAGCACTCTCCACAATAGCCAAAACATGGAAAGAGCCTAAGTGTCCATCAACCGAAGAATGGATCAAGAAGATGTGGTTTATCTGTACGATGGAATACTACATGGCAATGAGAAAGAATGAAATCTGGCCGTGTGTAGCAACATGGATGGACCCTGAGGGTGTTATGCTGAGCGAAATAAGTCAGGCAGAGAAGGACAGATACCATATGTTTGCACGTATAGGAGGATTAGGAGGAACTTAACGGAGGACCATGGGGGAGAAGAGGGGAAAAATAGTGGGGGAGAGGGAGGGAGGCAAGCCACAAGAGACTCTTGAATGCCAAGAACAAACCGAGGGCTGATGGGGGTGGGAGGAGAGGGGAAGGAGGGTGATGGGCATGGAGGAGGGCACATGTGGGGATGAGCACTGGGTGTTATATGGAAACCAACTTGACAATAAACTATTTTTAAAAAAAGAAAGAAAGAAAATACTCTTCACTGTAGAACTCCAGACAATAAGCTAATCCTCCCATGTGGCTTCTGCTATCAAGTTCATAAACTGAATACCTTCCAAGATAGGACTGGAGGGTCAATTTTCTTTCATTTTCTGTCTCATCTCTTAGATGCCAACGCCCACCAGGACAGTCCAGGATCCCCAACTTAATCACATCCACATAGTACCTTTCGTCACATAAGGTAACATTCGTGGGTTCCAGGAATTAAGACATAGACACATCTGGGGGCCATCGTCTGGTTTTAACCACATCGTGACCACCTTTCGCTCCCTTAAGAAACAGGTGGACATAAATTCCCAAGGAAAAGGTTGGTGCCAGGTTGGACTCTCCTTGTGGAAAAGAATGAGGACTTCTACATCTACGGCAGCAAAGGACAAAGCCAGCCCAGGGAGACACTTTGGGAATGAAGAGGATCAGCAGCCGAGGCAGGTACACTTTCTTTAGTCACAGTCTCACCGTGACAGAAATCACTCGTGGAAGACAAAAAAGGAGGATCTGCCCCCCCACCGCCGTCTCCCCTGCACCTTGCCCGTGCACCATATTAAATTAGCCCAAATCCCTCCTGACTGCTAAGGCTCTGTCTTGAGTCCCCATGAAGCCCCATGGCAAGGGCTCCCCAGTAAGCAGCCACCCAGCCAGGACTCCAGGCTGACCCACTCCAACCTCTGCCCCGGGATTCGCCACAGGCAGAGAGCGGTGGAGAGGCAGCAGCTGGCTTCCAGAATTGAAGCCCAGCTCTACCCGTCCCCAAAGGCCCCCCACTGGAGTCAAGAAGAGCTGGGGAAGGCAGGAAATTGAAACAATATGGGTGGATGAGAGAGCCCAGACCCCACACCCCAGTCTCCTCCTATTAACGCCGTGTGAAGGAGGGATTATTTATAGTGACTGAAACCAGGAGAACGTGCCAAGTGTTCAGTCCCATGGGAGGCCAGCTTCCATCCTGGAGCAAACGAGTAACCCTTCCACTCATGTGGCTCTGGCTGGGAGTCCGCAGCTCCCATCAAAGCCGATGGACTCAACCATCTGCCTAAATCGGCCCCTGCTTTCTCTTTACCAGTGAGCCTCTCCCTATATTCTCTTACAAATGGTCCAAGCACGTTTCTCCCACCAAACTGCAGAGACTCTCGTGAGCTGAACGGTCCCCCTGAATTCGTAACGTTAAAGCCTGAATCCTCTCTCCTCAGGACTTGACTGTATGTGGAGATAGGGCCTGTAAAGAGGTGATTAAGTTAAATGAGCTATTAGGGAGGACTTTAATCCAACACACGCCGTGTCCTTTTAGAAGATGAACTTTGGGCACTGATATGTGCATGCACAGAAGGCAGACCGCGTGAGGATGCAGGGAGAAGACGGCCATCTACAAGCCAAACAGGGAGCCTCAGAAGAAACCAAACGTGTGACACCCTGATCTCAGACTTCGGGCCTCCAGGACCGTGAGAAATAAATGTTTGTGGTTGAAGCCCCCACCCCCACCCCCGCCCCAGTCTGTGGCACTTGTTTAACGGCCCTAGCAAACCAATATAACCTCATTTACAGGAAGGCTCATTTTGGCCCTACGTGTGCCACCAACCCAGATATTTACACCCACATTCAACTCAAGGGTATGGTTGGTAGGTGACTGAAACTCGGGCCCAAGGGCTCCTCAGGGTCTTAAAGCTTTGCTAGAGGACGTGGGCTCTCAGAGGTTTCCCGGCCTGTGATAAGCCTTCTCTGAAAGCCAGGTGTCCGCAGCAACGCCCTCTCCTTGGCACTGGAAATGGCTGGGTTAGACCCAGCGAACACAGCTCACGATCAGGCATGGGGAGGGATGGGCAAAATGCAGGTAGAGGCCCCAGTGCCCAACAGACGTCAGCTGCGTTGGATATTTAGTTGCTAATAGTGGGACAGAAAGCATCACACAACATCCACTCACCACAGTGGTCAGGCCCCCTCTGGCTCAGCGGAGAGAACAGCAATGGGGGTCAGGACAGTGGGAATCGAGGGCAACACCCACGCATGGAGTCAGGCTGACCAGAAGGCAGTGCCCAGGAGAGTCCAGGCTTTCCCCTCTGGGCCTCGGTCTGGATGGCAGGGGGTACTCTCCCCGCAGGGCAGACGGGCGAGCCAAGTAAACAGAGGCCAAGCCAGCTACCAGACAGGGGAGGGTGCATATCACCCTCTTACCCCAGTAATGCAAGGGAGCAGCCCCGGGCAGGGCAGAGACTCTCCTCTCCTGGCCTAGGAGGGAGAATTGTCAAAAAGTCATTCTAGCCCGGAGAAGAGCTGAGCTTCTTTTTTTTTAACTTTTATTTTAATTAATCAATTTTTATTTAAATCCAAGTTAGTTCACATATAGTTTAATAATGACTTCAGGAGTAGAATTTAGTGACTCATCACTTGTATTCAACACCCAGTGCTCATCCCAGCAAATGCCCTCCTGAATCACCCATTTAGCCCACCTACCCCCCACCCAACACCCCGTCAGCAACCTTCAGCTTATTCTCTGTATTTAAGAGTCGAGAAGAGTGGAATGTCTTGCTTTGTGACCCTACATTGCAGGGAATTGAGATGGGAGGTGGGCTGCTCAACCCTCTGCCCAGGGCACCTCTACACTTTCTCCAGCTTATGTCCCAGCCTGTGCTTTGTTCATTTAATCGCTCAACTAATACTTGCTGACCAACAGCCGCATCCCAGGCTCTGCACAAAGAACACAGCCTTCCTAACCTCATGGAGCTGAGAGTCCAGTGGGCAAGGTAGCCAGTCATCGAGGGGAGAAGACACAGGGGTATTTACCTGCAAATAGTGTCACATGCTACAGAGAAAAGGTGCAAAGCTTTAGAAAAATCAGGGCAAGATCCTGATCTCATCTACGGGGTCAGGGAAGAAGGAGACTCTGGGGAGGTGACCGCGAGCTAAAGGTTGAGTTGGAGTGAATGACATAAAATTCAGGAGACCAGCAAAGAGTGATCTCCCTGGAAGAGAGAGGGTTCCACCTGTCCAAAGACCCTGAGGCAGGAGGAACCTGGTGCAGGCTAGAAATAGAAAGAACAGTGTTCACCTGTGCCTGCTGGTAGACCTCAGGAGGGTACTTTCCACCCCAATAAGCGTCCCCCAAAGCCAGTTCTTAAAGGAGGAACATGACAACCTAGGCAGGGAAGAAACTGATTCTGGCCACAGGGATCCCTATTCTTTCCACTAGCACATGCCTCCCTACTTGGGATCCCTGGTGCCCCACGTGGGCTGGGCACGGGGAGGCTCATGGCCCGGACCTTCCCAGTGACTTGGCAGGGCTGGGCAGAGAGCCTGGGGCTGGCCCTGAACACAGCCAGGCTAGAAACCTGGTGCTATTGGGTGTGAGACCCTCAGAGCCTCCGTTTCCTCATCTGAAAAAGTGAAAGATGATACCTCACGAGGGAAGTGTGGGCTCCAATGAGAAAACACCTTTAAAATACCAGTATCAGTTAGTATGCTCTGAGAGCTGGGCAGGTGAGGGCTGCAGAAAGTCCATACATGCCGATCTGCGAGCAGGGTGGGCTTCTTGAGTATATGATCCGCATCATACAGGGCCCTATATTTGAAGGGATGCCCCACTTGGCTGAATCTCTACTGCCACTCTCTTGAGATTTTTGAATAAGGGACCCCACAGTTTCATTTTGCACTTCATCCTGCAAATTATGTGGCTGATTCTGATTATAAGCGAACGTTAAATTCCTGTGACTAGGATTTACGGGGTCTAACCCTCTCGTTTCCCTTTGCATAATGTCATGAGAAGGACTAACACAGCTCTAAAAGTAGCTTAAAAGGACATCTTTTTTTTTTTTTAATTTTTTTTTTAATGTTTTATTTATTTCTAGGAGAGAGAGAGAGAGACAGCGTGAGCAGGGGAGGGTCAGAGAGAGAGGGAGTCACAGACTGAAACAGGCTCCAGGCTCCGAGCTGGCAGTCAGCACAGAGCCCGACGCGGGGCTCGAACCCACAAACCACGGGATCATGACCTAAGCAAAAGTCGGACGCTTAACCGACTAAGCCACCCAGGCGCCCCTAAAAGGACATCTTTGTACCAAACGGTATACAACGTATTCATCTAGGAGAGAGCCCCTGCCCCTCCCTCCAGCACTCATCATGAGGGGGAGGAGGGCAACTTCCAGCTGCAAGGGATTGTAGGTAGGACTTCCAACAGAAGCAAAGCACCCACCTTGCTTGGGACACGGAGGTGGCCATGGCCACTGGGGATGTGCTAGCGTGGCTCTGTGCCCCATGCTCCCTCTCTGTCCCGAAGAAACTGCTCCCACCCACTCAGAGAATTCCTCGCTGCTGCCCTGAACTTTATTAACTCCAACTCAGCCTTCAGCTCATCGTCACCTCCCCAGGGTCTCTTTCTTCCCCGACCCCACTCAGCCAAAAGTTTCTATGTCTATAAAGAATGCAAATCATGGGTACCAATCAGCAGCAAAAATCTCATTTTTATCAAAAAGATCATCTGAATTTCAAATAAATCTCTGAAAGAAATACAATTGTATTCCTTAAAAACTCATGGCACTAGGAACCTGTGTTTATCAAGCACTGATCACAGATGCCGCCAGACCTAGCAGCCTGTGGGGTGCTACATTCACATGAAGCCATCACCTGAAAATAGCTCTCATCCAGGACAAAAACGTGACATTGACCAATGACGGAGGCTAACAATGGCTGGCCGTGAACTCTATACCAAGTACTATTCTAAGCCCGTTAGATGTATTTAGTCAATTGGGTTTTTTTAATGTTTATTTATTTTTGAGAGAGAGAGTAAGAGTGAGAGAGACAGAGAGGCTGTGTGCATGCGAGCAGGGAAGAGGCGGAGAGAGTGGGAGACAGAGGATCCGAAGCAGGCTCCGTGCTTAACAGCACAGAGCCTGATGCAGAGCTCAGACTCACCAACCGTGAGATCATGACCTGAGCCAAAGTCAGACGCTTAACCCCCTGAGCCACCCAGGCACCCATCCTGGAACTGTTTATCCTCAGTTTACTGAGAAGAGGGCTGATGCACAGAGACGTTAAGCCCGTAGCTTAAGCTCACACAGAATGTGGCAGAGCTGGAATTTGAGCACAAGCCATCTGGCTTCAAAAGCAGCTCTCAACCACCACTCTGGACCACAGTTCGGCTTTTAGTAAATATTTTACCCTTTGATTTCCTTTCCTATAAAATGAGGGGTGGAACCAGGTAACCGCTAAGGTCCCACACTGCCCCTGAAACAAGAGGCAGAAAAATGCAGTGGTTAAGAGTCTAGACCTATGTATAAAGTGGCTCTGCCAGGCCCTCCCGGTGGGGGCGGGGGGGGGGGAGAACCGTGGCGTGGCGAGGAGTCATGGGTGAAACACTCAGCAGAGTGAGTGGCACTCGGTGAGTGCTGCCCTGAAGCAGGGCCGTCTGATTATCTCTGGCATGGCCTTGGGCACAGCCAGGGCAGACTCTAAAGGATCCTGAATTGCAGCTCTCAGTCTCCTGAAAGCACGAGAATGTCCTTGACCCCCCAAAAGTTGCTCTCTGAGGGCGCCCTCCTTGATAGCATCTGTGACTAGGAAGTTGGTCAGGGAGCCTGGGGCGATGAGGACCCCTGTGGCCCCTTGCATCCCGTTGGCTGCTGGCTACTCCACGCAGGCCACCAGAACCTGCTTGGCCCAAACACCCCAGTCAAACCTCCAGTCACCATCAGCCAAGGTGGTGACAAGTATCACAAGAGCATTTCCACTGCACCGATTTCAGATTCAACAGAAACCCGGCTGCACTAGTAGCCAGGGAACAAGGGGTGAATTTCTTCCCACGGGAATCCAAGTCTCTTCTTTTCAGCCTCTGATCTACACTGGCTCAAATGCCAGCTCAGCCACTTGGTAGCTGGGTCACCTTTGGAAAATCACTTAACTCGGAGCGTCAGCTTCCTTATTTACAAAACACAGCTTCAATGGTATGGGCACAGTCTAGAGTCAGGCTCCCTGGGTTCAAATCCCTGCTCCACAACTTACAAGCCTTAGGAACATAAGGCAAGTCGATTGGTGGGCCTGTGCCTCAGTTTTCTCATCTATAAAATGGGGACAATAACGGCACTTCCCCCAGAGGTTACAAACAGAGTTAATGTTTGCAAAGCACCTGGATATATAACTTTTGCTCTTGTCGTAATTACTTTGAAGTGCTGCTGTGATTACATGAGCTAATGTGTAGCACTACACCTGGCACCCAATAGCACCCAGGAAATGTAAGAGCCATTATTAACTATTATTCTAGCCACACAGCATTTGCAGCTCTGAGGCAGGGCTGCAGGGCTCGGAGAATAAAGAGAGAAGCTTTTTCAGCAACTCAGAAGTGAGGACAGCAATCCCAAGGGAAAGCCAGCAGGCAGAGTCCGCGCTAAAGCAGGGCGCCCTGGGAGGGGGTCCCGCTTCTTCCAGGCGCGGGCACCCCGTCTCAGCAGGCCTGGTCTCGAGAACCGCCCACGGACCAGTCCCGGGTTGCCAGGGCACATCCAGCCCCTCGCGCGGGGTCTCAGCAACTCTCCGCGCAGCAGAGGGAACTTGCTGCCAGACTAACGTGCCAACAGTTGTTGGTCCTGACTCGTGGAGAAAGAAAGAAAGGAAACAGCAACAGCTACTAGGGCCGGCGCGTCCCTGCTCTGATCTTGCCCTCTAAGGCCTGGCCCCGCTCGGGCGCAGGGGCTGTTCCGAGTGTCCGCGGAGCCCCGGCCCCGGCGGACGCGGGAAGGGGGCCCGGCACCGCGGCCGCGGGGGCCCGGCGAGGCGGCCCTGCGCTCCGCCAAACTGGCGCGGCCACGGGGACCCGCGGAGCCCCGGCCCGCGGGCGCGGACGGGGAGGGGGCGGCCCGGAGGCGGCAGGGCCTCCCCGCCCGGCCGGGCCCCGAGCCCCGGGCTCCCCCGCGCGGGCTGCCCTCGCCCCACCGGCGCGCGCCCGCCCCCACCGCGCTTACCCGGGGCCGGAGCCCGCGCCAGCAACACGGCCGCGGCCAGCGCCAGGAGCCGCATCTCCCCGCCGCCGCCCGGCGCTGTGACGCCCGAGCAGCGCCGCCGCCCGCCCGGCCCCGCCGCCAGCCCGCCCCGTGCCGCGCCCGCCCTCCGGCCCCGGCCCCGGCCCCGGCCTGGCCCGCCCCTCCCGTGGCCCGCCCGCGCCGGCCCCGGGGCTGCTGGGTGCCGCGTGCCGCGCAGGGCAAGGTGGGGGGGGCACCCCGCAATCGGTTCGCCTAGCGACCTGTGGGCGGCTAACAGTCGCCACCCCCATTTCACAGATGGGAAAACTGAGGTTCTGAGAGGGGATCGCTGATACCGAGAAAGCACGGCCGTAGTGGGATTCACGATGTCTTTGCATCACAGATGGTCATTGCGAGGGGGAAGGCTGTTTGGATTTGGGGGCTGTTTGGGTGAGGGGGGAAACAAAAAGTGCAGTGGGACCTGCTGACCAGCGGACCCCTACCGTCTCTCCACAGGAAACTTTGTGAGCCCAAGGAGCAGCTGAGGGAGAAAAAGCCCTCTCGTTCTGAGCTGAACTGGGTATGAGGGATGTCAGGAATGAGCTGGAAAATCTTGGAAAACTCAAGAGGGTCCACACAGACAAGTTCAGTGTGTGTGGACTCTGTTAAAACCAAGGACCACTCAGGGTGTCCTCAGCCACAGCCTAGGCTAGGTACTTTGCACCACGTTCCTGAATCGTGGCACTGTAAGGACCCTGGGACAGCACCTTCATCCCCATGTGCCTCAGTTTCCTCCATCTATACAATGGGAAAATAGCCACATCCGTCATGGGGTGTTTAAGATTGAAGCAGTTCCAGTTAATGCATGACCCCTGGCCCCTGGCCCTGTGAATGTCAGCTATCACTGCTATTATATTATAAATAAGGAAGTAGAAGCAGGGAAGTGAAGGGGCTGACTCAGTCATACAGTGAGAGGGTGGTGCCAGGGCCACTCAGCCCAGGTCGCTTTGAGCCAATACCGCCCCTTCGCCAGGTTTCTAAACTTGGAGCTCAACTGATGTGTTAGTCCATGAGCTCTAGAGCAAGAACAGTATACGTTAGCTGTGTTCTTTGTGTCTCGGTCCAGGAGAGGGACAAAGGTCTTTGGGGGGGAAAGATGGGTCCTGCTTGGGAGTGGGTCCCTGCAAAAGGAGAAGAGCAGGGTCCCCATCTCTTTCCCACTAAGGGCAGAGGAGGAGTGGGGAAGGCATGGAGAGAGAGATGGTGGTGCCCCCTGGTGCTGAGCCATGGGGCCTCTCCCAGAGGGACCATCCGCCCCTGCAGCCTAGACCAGTGGATGCAAGCCTTTGTGGTCTCTCCAGATCCCAGGCGTTTCCCAGGGTCCCCGGTCCCCATAGGGCATTTCTGAATGGGAGACCCTCCAATAGAGCAGGTCCCTGCAGTTGGGCTGACCATCAAGGCAGCCAGACTGGAGGGAGCAGCCTCACGCCGCAGCCAGGCTGCTGGAAGGACCCAGGGAGCCAGTGGTGAGCGGGCTTCTGGTGAGCTGGTAAGCCTCATAGCCCGTCTCTGTGAGGACCCAGGCTCCATTTTTTAGATTAGGAAACTCAGGCTCAAAGAGGACCCCAGCCTTGTCTAACTTCTGTGGGCTCCCCACGTGTCTGACCTGGGAACTTGGATTTGTGCCAGAAGAAAAGCATTGGTTCTGATCAGCCAGCTCTTGACCTTAAGTAAGTAACAGTGTGGGCCCTTGGGCAAGGTAGCCTCTCTGAACTTCATTCTCCAGAAGGTGACATGTGTACAATGGCACGTCAACATGACAGTACGTGGACAGGGAGCTAAAGAGTTGTCAGGACTGTTGGGTGTCTGTGATGGCTTCACTTCACACTTGGTGCTTGCAATGGACCCTTCCAGTGGGTGGAAAGTACAAGGGGCCTCTTACACATGGTGGCCACACTTGGGAGGAACTAATTCCTTCTTTGATCATTGTATCTTTTCTAAATATCAGCCTCTCCCAGAAGGACTCTGCAGACATTCAGCCCAGGCTTAGACCTCAGTGCCCACCCTTTGTTTTGCTTTCTCTGGTGCTGTGCTGGAGATTTGGGACTAGAAAGTGCTTTTCTTGTGGTTCTGTGATATATCGTCTTGTTCTGTTTTCAGCCGTGTGCTCTCTCAATATTCTTCAGTTTCCCAAATAATCTACCAGATGATCTTGGTGAGACCTTTGTGGCATGACATAGGAATGGGGAAATACGCCCACTCCCCAAAGGAGAAACAGCCAATGAGATGAGACTCGATATTTAGCTTGCCCTGGCCTGCTTCACCCTGCCTCCTGCCCACTCACTCACAAGCTTAGGCGATTTGAAAATCCTCCACTGACTTATTTGTCCATCCCTTGGCTCTATCAGGTCTCACTGTGCTCTGAATTAGAAGGAAAATACAAGCCAATTCTTTTTCTTGTAATTACCTCTTTTAAAAATCCCTGTCTGCAGTTTCTGAATAAGGGTTGAAACTGTTCTAAAGTTGACCCAGATCCGTGTGGACACTAAGCTACATGTAAGTAAGTAAGTAAGTAAGTAAGTAAGATTTCCTCCATACTGCCCACAAGCATTTTATGACCAAAAGTAGTCAGCTGGACACTTGAATTCTCACGGAAAGGGAGTGAACAAGGTGTAAACCTTGGGGCCCTTGGATGGCTTAGGCAGTTAAACTTCTGACTTGATTTCAGTTCAGGTCATGATCTCATGGTTTGTGGGATCAAGCATCGAATTGGGCTCTGCGGTGACAGCACAGAGCCTCCCTGGGATTCTCTCTTTCTCCCTCTCTCTGTCTCTCTCCCACCAATGCACGCATTCATGTGCACACACTCTCTCTTTTTCTCTCTCAAAATAAATAAATAATATTTTTAAAAAACTATAAAAAAGAGGGGACTCTGGATAAAAAGCGTTTCGGCTCTAAATAATGGGGGAGAGGGTAGGATATGAAATAAGAGATCATGGTTACGGAGGATATGCCCATCCAAGCAGAAGGAAAAGCCATGAGCTATCCATGGTGGAATTGCCGTGAGACCTGCAGCATCTATGCCCTGCACATCTGGGGAAGGGGTGTGAAGGGTATGGATATTCCCTAAGGGGAAGGAATGGGAAGCTATAAGCCTGAAAGTAGATCTGGATACAAATAGCTTCTCCAAACCCTGATAAATTGGGATCATCCAGGACCTTAGCAGTGACCATGAGCTATGTGCTAGGGACTCTGCAGGCTGGCTGGATGCAGAAAAATGTGGCCCCAGATTCCAGAAGGCTCCAGAAGGAAAAGATGAGAGTGAGGGAAGGATAAGAAATTAGACAGGTTGTCTATATCACTGACCACAATGAAGGCCATGCCCACTTCCTCTTCCTAGTCATGCTGGAAACATTTACAGGGAAGGTAGCCCTTGAGGTGAACCTTAAAAGACACTGGGAGAGTCCTGAAACAATAGGGTGAGGGGCTTGTTCCAGAAGAGGGAGCAACATGTGTCAAAGCACAGAGGCTAAAGGACATAGGACTTTCAAGGTTTTTTAATTTTTTGAAAAAAATTTTTAATGTTTTCTTTTTTATTTCTGAGAGAGAGAGAGAGCAGGGGAGCAGGGGAAGGTCAGAGAGAGAGGGAGACACAGAATCCGAAGCAGCCTCCAGGCTCTGAGCTGTCAGCACGGAGCCAATGCCGGGCTCAAACCCATGAACGTGAGATCATGACCTGAGCTGAAGTCCGACATTTAACTAACTGAGCCACCCGGGTGCCCTTGTTTGTTACAGCGTCCTTGGGGTGGGTCACAACTGGCACGGACGGACTGGGCTGTGATGTGAGGCCCTACGATGCAGTGTCAGTCCTGTGCCAGGAATAACAGTCTGCACAAAATGCCAGTGGTGTACCCATTGAGAAACACTGAGAGACAGGACGAATGGAAGTCACTGATGCAGCACTCTGGGGCAACCGAGGCCTTCTGGGTTTTTGTGAGAAGAAGGTTTACAAGATTCGGAGTCATGTCCAAGTAAAAAATGACTGTTGATTGTCTTACACCAACCCCGGGTCAGCATGCTGCTTGGCACCCAACTTGCATGCTGCTCTCAGACCAGGCTCCTACTGTCAGCCTTACTCTGCTTCTGCAGAGAGATGCTCGTTCCTGCTGGAGCAGCAGGGCCATCTGAGCGCTGCTCTTACCCACCCTTGATGGAGAGCAAACCAGGAAAGTCAGAGTCAACCTGCTCAGATTCCTCCCAAACACTGGCTCAAGGGAGAAGCCGGGCTGATAGCTGCAGGAGCCCGGACAGCTGCGGGGCAAAAGCTCTGGTCTCCATCTCAGGCAGGTTGCTCCGTCCAGCCTTCCTGGCTGTAAGAGGGCAGGGTGCATGGAGCTAGTCTTGGTGCAGCGTCTACAGTACTCTCCCTCGGAGGCAGAGAAAGTGGAGGCTTCCCCATGAGCGAGAAGACATCCTATCCTCCCCAGCCTTTGGCTCCCCTACCTGCACACACACATGCACCCACCCCACATATGGATGGATGAGGGATGAGACATTTTCAGAGTACATTTCCCTCTTCCTGGCACCACCCAGCCTTCAGCTGCTGAGCGCCAACATCTGGCTCAACTTCTCTTCCACAGTCCCACCCAAATTCCATCTCCATTCCCTCGGGGACTTTCTCTGAACCTGTCACAAACTAATGAACTAATTCATGCTGATGTTGTCTTACCAAATGAGCTTCCCAAGCATATCATTCTTACAGTACAGAAGGAAAAATTGTAACTCAATGAATGGCTCTTTGGTGGTGAAGTTGCTGAACTGTTAACCACCCCTCAGAAGAGATTGTGGGGATAAGGGGTGAGGTCTCCCCAGGGGAAAACCCTCTTTCTCCTGTTCATTAAGGTAGCCTTTGTTCTAGAAGTGCAGAGCCCCAGTTCTAGCTCAGCTTGGGATGTCAGGAATAATTGCCCCTCAAAGGCACAGCTGGACTTTAATCTTCCAAGACTACCAGCCCATGTTCTCATTTTCTCTGTGCTCAGCTCATTTGCTGGGCATTCA